GAGATATAAATATTAAATTTAATAAAACTAAAAAATGAATATAAATCTAACTTGTAAGAATAAATTAAAATGTAATTACAAAATTAAGAGTAAATTACATTTTTCGTCCTGTGGTTAGTTGAAAATTTTGGTTTCCATATCTGTCTTCATTAATTACACTGATGGTCATTGTGGTTTGCAAGTTATTTCATTTTTTGTCCTTAAGACTAACCGTAGTCAATTGAGTCAGTTAATTTAGGGGAGCATTATGGTTTTTTTACTTTGTGATCTCTAATTTTATTTTAAAGATTTAAGGGGTGTTTGAGATTGCTTATAAAAAAAAACTTTGACTGATTCCGGTGTGGCACCGGTAATAAACACTTTTGAGTGTTTGGATAAAAAAAACTTATACCGGTGCCAAACCGGTAATAAGGAGTTTTGAAAAAAGTTAAAATTTTCTGACTTATAATAAGTTGATAAGTGTTTTTGTAGAAAAACATAAGTTCTTTCAAATAAACAATCTCAAACACCCATTTAGTAATAGTATGTTAAACTATATATTATTTTATCAACACAATACAGAGCCTTCCTTCAAAAAAAATTACACAAAGCCTTCATTCAAAAAAAAAAATTACACAAAGCCTCCCTCTTCGATTCCGCTCACATGACCCACCATCCCCAACAACGACCTCCTCTTCATCTCTGTGGTTTGTTGGATAATCCATTTTTAACTCATTTAATAATTGAATGGATAACCCATTTTAATCCATTTAAAAATCAATTTATGTGATATCAAAAGCCTCTTGTTCATCTAGGTTATACGTCAATCCCAAAAATAGGAGAGAGAAATGAAAATCAAAGAAAAAAAAAGAATCATAATTGGTTGAAAACTTGAACCAACACCTCTGATCTTGATCTCTTTGTTGTGTTCTGTGTCTTGCAAATATATATATATATATATATATATTAAATGAGAAACCATTATGTATGACATGACTTCTTCTAAAGGCTAGGAGTTTCTCTATCTTTTTTCTGCTTTTTTTTAGTTTTTAAAATACTAATTAAGTTAAAGACTTTTATACCCCTATAGACAAATTGTATGTTTTATAATAAATGAGATTTTTTGGTCATTTTGCATCCAATTTAAGTTTAACCTCCCAGCTATTCAACTTCTTCATAGACATTCTCTTTATTGTTTGTTGCAATTGATTTACTTTCTCCAACTCCTCATCTCTCCATCTCTTCATCCTTTTATTTCTCAATATCTTCCTCTCCATTTAGTTTTGGCATTATTGCTATGAAGAATAATCAATTATGTTCTTGAAAACATTCATACACACTCAAGTTCAACTAAGACTACTTCATAGCGGAAGATTAGTACGGTGAAATTTTACCGAGAATAGTAATGTTATATATACACACATATGTTATATAGTGCTATGATCAAGTTGAGTTCTTACTTGAAAACAAATTTTAGGTTGCGATGAAATACCTTTATCCTTGTATGTCACAACTTCAACAAATGTTTTGTCTATTATAGAATTTGTATTTTTTTTTTCAAATTTCAAGAATTGGGTTATTTGTTTGATAAATTATAAATTGAAGTTTTTTCTTATGGTGAATCATAAACTAAGTTTGTTCCATTTTATGAACTGTGAAAAGTTTTTCTTACTAATTTTGTGTTTTGAGTTGCATCATAAATTGATATTTGTTATTTTTTTAATCAGTGATGAGTTAGATGTTTTTTTTGTTTGTTTGTTAGGATTATTAACTGAAGATTTTGCATATTGAAGTCTTGATGATCGGAGTATTCACAACAATTAGTGATATAGTGCCTCAAAAGTTCTCCAATATCAAGAAATTGTAAATATGTTAGACTTTTTTCCCCAAAATGATATGATATGATTGTTTTCTATCTTAGGGTTTAACCGAATCTTTTCAAAAGGGTTCTTTCAATCTTCTCTTGGCATTTAATTAGTTTAAAGCCCAATAAAACTTGATGTATTATCTTTGTTGTTAAGTTTGTGTATTATTGACCTTTGTCTTATGTTTTGGTACATCTCTTTGTTTTGATCTTATATAGTTCTCCTTTTTGTTTTGATCCTTCTAAATGTGTGCAATCAATCTATATATACAAGGAAAACTCAATAGTGTTTACACGATATCTCCTAATGTTAGAATTCTTATTTCTCTTTTTTCTAAATTTTTTGATTTTTAAAATATGTTTAATATAAGAAAAAGACGATGTCGTCCCTCTATAATAAATGTGTGCTTCATTATGCACAAGCTTTTTTTAATAAATTTACATGCATCTTGAACCCCCTAACCTCCATATTTCTTTGTAAACTTTTTAATTTCTCTTCTTTTAAAATATATCTTACACTTTAGCATAACCCCCAACTTTCCATATGCCGACAACCTTTGTAGCTTCATCTTCATTAAATTGTGGCTTTCTCCTCTCTTATATGTAAATTTTTTACATACATCTTGTAATATAGGTTAAGTAGGTAGTCTACAATTAAAGTCTCCATCATTATTATTACGTGAGGACAAACAATCTTCGATGAAACCCGTGCTCCTTGAATGGTCTATCATTTTTTTGATTGTATGTTAAGTATACTAAATGGATCTAATTCGAAACCAACTTCCTATTGGATCATGTTTCAAAAATGCAAGAAGAATCATTTTAGTTCTCCTATACATACCAATAATTTCAGTACTCGGTAAGCAAATAATTTTTGTGTAAACATCATTTGCTAGATTAGTTTAAGGTGTTAGCGTTATATTCTTACAAGCCTCTAGCATTTGAATCTCTTCTTCAAATATAAGTTATCATGGTATTCCGAAGCACTACACATTAATGACATCAACATTGAATCATGAAGATATGTGATGAAGAAGACTCCCTCAAATCTTTGATTATACAAATAGAAAATAAAAAGTTTAAACTACTTTCAAAAGCTTGAAAGGATACGACTTCCTAATAGCCTCCAACTCTTTTTGGCATCTTTAGATCATATTATTAAACATTTCAACAAAAAGGTGGTCCATGATTTCCATCATCTATATAAATTTGTTTATTTTTCTCTCCATTAAAGTCTCAAATAGGTTGACATTTTCATGAGTGGAAGAAGGTTTTTTATGTTTGATTTTGTTTTTGAATCCCGCTCTTCTTTGAGTTTATATAAGTATTATATTATAATTTTTTTTTATTAAGTTTGTTATTTATGTTTTTGTTTTTCATTCAAATATTCTTGATAAGTTATTTTTGAGAAGGCGAACATTCGACAAAAAATAACTAAAAAAACATTAATGATATAATATTTTAAATGTCCTATATTTAATTTGAGTTAACAAAAAAAAGTTGGTTGTTAGTTGGTGGGACAAATGTAAATATATTTTACAAACTTGAAAAACAAATTTGGGATAAAGGAAGTTTATGAACGAGCAAATATACTTATTCCTTGCAACTATATTTCTAACAATTATAACATAATCAATACTAATCATGAATGTAATTTTAGTAATATCGTTTGTAATATATCTAAAAAGCGTCTCTAATGTTAATTTAATTATTATAAAAACGGCACATCTCAAAGTTAACCGACATCTAAAGAAACCTTACTCTATAAAAGCCCTTTCTTCACAAATGCCTCCATTGAAGCCTACGACTTGGATGTAACAATTTTTGGGTCAATTCATTGGAAGAGTTGGAGTATGGAGTTTGAGCAAAAGAAAAGAAAGGGGAAGGATGTGATGATAAACGAGCAAGACAGTCATGGTGTTGATGGGGGAAGTCGAATAAGAGATACTAGTATGTTCATCGGATACTTAATAATTGATTGAACTAGTTATAGGCATAATCGAATTTTTAAAAAGTTTGTGATATTTAGAAACTGACACTCATGTTTATATGATCTTTTTGTTCACAAAACTCCAAATCTAGCAAATAGCATTGTAGCAATTTCTGTGTTTTCAATTTCTTGTGATGGTAATATTGTAACAAATTACTTGTTATATTTTTCGAATTTGGTTCTTAGTTCCACTTTATGGTGTATGGTTTTACTTTTCCCGATAATTGTTTCGCCTTTCTAATTCCATGTACCAACTTCCAAAAATTTGGCATCGTTCGTTCCAACGTTGGTTCTTATTCACACCCCATCAGGTCCATCCAAAACCGGTCATGCCGGTTCCCACTTTGAACTTATTTTGGATCAGACCCGAACAAGCTCCAATTTGGAAGCATTTTTGTCTCGTTTTAGTGGATGAGAGAAAGAAAGCACAATCTACTTACAATCATGTTGAGATAACAGCGGAAAAAATCATGCTAAGATGCAAACCAAATGAACATGGCCCGATCCTGTGAAATGGGAGTTACAAGACGGAGCTTGCCAACGAAGTTGGTGATCCAAGAAGGATTGCCATTTAAGGAACTCGACAGCTACAGGACCACATAGTGTCAAACGACGCTTCAAACCATATATGAACAAGTAGGTCGTTCTACCCTCGGAAGAGACACAATAAACAGATGGACTGTTTGCCGAGGATCTACCGTCAAGGAAGAAATTGCAATTAGAAGATACAAGACAAAGCATCACTCAAGGAAGGACTTACAAACGTCAAGGAAGAAACTGCGAATGGAGAAACTAGCCAATATTCAACAACCGAAGAAGAAGAAGATCTACCGTCAAATCATGAACGATGATGAATACATCGAAGAATGAAGATAAATGTATCTACCGACACGCGAAAGGTCAACAAAGAAAAAACCCAAGTGAAAAAAAGGATTTCTCGTCAAAGCATCAAGCCGTCAACTGTAAACAAAAAAAAATACAATGAATAAAAAAAAAAGTTCTGTCAAGTTCTATTCTCTTGTCCTATCTAGTTTTGTCTTGTCATGTCTAGTTCCGTCTTGTCCAAACACTACCTTACAGATTTTGAAGACCTATACTGAACGTAGAATTTTGTGGCACATAAGATAGGATGGAAAAATCAAGGGGTCCAATCCAGCCATGGTACATGAACTGAAGTGAGCAGATGTCAAGTGTTTTTACATTTTGTTTTTTAATCAGATAATATTTAAAAACATAGTTTTACCAATCAATCACCACCAACAAATTAAATCCCATAATATTTGACTCTCATATTTATTCATGTTTCCTTCCTATAGAATTAAAATAAATTAATAATAATAATGATGATGATAAAAATAAAGGATAAGGAAACTGACATGACATGCCATGCCATGCACAAAGAGAAGAAATAAAGCTTCTGGCATTCTCTAACCACTAGTTCACTTTTACAACCTGCATGCAATGCAATTAACATCCATCATCATCATGTACAAAACTGTGTGCTTATTTATTACCAGATGAACAAACAAACATCTTTCAACCTCACCTGCTCATCCTGTGTTTACTTAATGGGATCAAATATCAAGTGTTAATGAATTGGTGAGATCCGAGTTTTTTCTGCAGACGTATATGAAATGAGAATCTGGATCTTCTAAAACAAAATCAGCAGGAAGCAGCCCCTTATCCGTCGTAGGAATAGGTGACAGGTATGATTTAGGAGATGAGGTTGAACCCGGTGCCCTCTGGAATCCAGGCCGAGCTGCAGTACAATTAAAACTCATAATTCGACAATAAAGTCGTGTTGTATCCAAACATATTAAGGTAACTTTGAGATAGAAACCACCAAAAGCTACAATGAGGTGTCGTTTTCTGTCATTCAGACAGAATACTTACTAAACAGTCATTTTTCATTTTGCACTAGAGCCTCTTAATCATTTAACATCTACCAAACAGCTCTTACGTTTACTTAAATTTCAGCCAAATGTTATTATCAACTTATGTATACATACTAGTCACCCTAGATGGGTTCCTAATCAAGTACACCAATGAGAAAAACAAGCCACAAGTGCATGGAATATGTTATAACTTAAAATTGAAGTTATTAAAAGTTGTACATAGTTACAGCCATAATCGAAAATCACCTTAAATTACAATATGCTTGAGAAAAAACAGAAAGTAAAAAGCATAAAATAAATAAATAAATGAAGAACTCACGTATGATGTACAAGTCTATTGTCCAATTATAAGCTGGGCGGTTTACATGAGGCATCCTCACTGTTGGATCACCATATGTAATCTGTAGAAAGAAGTAGTCAATGATATCTACTATATAAGTCTTTTTTAGAATAAGGGATTATAATGTTTCACTGTCCTACCAACATATAGGTCCCTCCAGGTTTAAGGATCCTACAAATAAAAAGAGACGTTATTACAAATATTGATATATGTTCTATAGTTGACAGATCATATTACTAATGGTTCTTTAATTACATAAAACAGTATATTAGGTGATAAGGAATGGCTATGCTATCTAAGCTAAATTCAACTAACAACCTGCTCACTTCCCCCAGCATTTGAGAAGCACTAATTGGAGCATCAGTTCCACACTTCAAAATCGAAGTTAAAGAAGTTAGAACATACGTAGTACTGCAAAAGAAAATCTGATTGTGCAAAAAAAGTAGAGCTTACCATCAACGAGTCAAGAGTTCCTAAAACCCACAGATCAGGAAGCATGCAAAAGTTAAGAGCAGAATAGGACCATTAATATAGAAAATACATGGTTAAATTTAGTAAATTCCACCAAAACTTCCCAAGGTTTACCCTGATTTCAATTACTACCAAACCTCGTAATATAGTAGACACCCCTCTCCTATGGTTCCGAGTTTCCAAAATGTCCAGCTAATAGACCTATTTGGTGATGTTTCAGTTATGAAAAACTTAGATTAAAATATGTAACCTGTGATGTATATTGATAAACTTTTAACGGGTAAAATAATGGGTACTACTTCAGTTTGTTATATATGTGATTATTCTTATGTAGATGTACAATGCATAATATGTTTTGAAGCTGCAATGCCAACATCCAAGTTCAAGGTATTATGTGCAGATATTGAGAACTAGAGGAAAAGTCGATAAAAGCCAATCAATATGAAGACAAATGTCAAGATATTTAAGACTAATAGATTTTTTCAGAGGATGAAAAGACAACAAGCACCAGAAGTCTCATGTCAAAACCAACTTCTTTTGAAGAATATATCATTTAAAGTTAATTCTCTCACAAAGCATGCACAAAATGATTTTTTGAAAGAAAAAAAAACTAAAAAAGGGTTCTAAATAATCCTGGAAATTTGATCTTACTGAAGTGAAAAGGAGCAGGTATAATATCTACTTTTAGAAAAGAAAGAATACCAATACTGAAAAACGTTGGAGTTTGGACATCCAGACGCACTTGACCAGACATTCCAATGACTCTGGTTGGATCCGAATTAACATAGTTTCAGAATTTTAAGATAACCAGTCCTTTCAACTCTAACATAATTCAAAGTTAAAAAACCTTACAATTTGAAAAAGAACTAGAGATCTAGTCCTAATTCTATCATCACTTTTCTACTTAGACCTTTGTGTTCAGAAACGCTTCAAGAGACTAAACTCCAGGTTTCAACTTGCATTCCCAAAGCTTACAGAAGCAATAATTGTAATATAATACCACCCTATATTGTAATTTGGGTTCTAGCTTTGGTGGTCAAGGTGCTTAGGAAGCGTTATGGATGGCTGATTTTTAAAATTGTTGAATTCTTTGCTGCAACCTATCCATCTCCTCTAGGTTACTATGCACCTCATCCTTGACAACTGAACTTTGATTTTTGTAAGCACATCATCGGACAAACCACAGTTACTATTTGTCATAGGAAGTACGGCAGTATCTACAACAGATCTGAAGGCTTGGTAAAATCTGGAAAATGAAAACCTTGGATGGAGTAGGTGGAACTTACCTGTTTAAAATTAGAATGAAATTTAAACCATATGAATGAGAGAAACAGATCTATACCTTTATCAATTACACTATCAAATGAATCATCCAGAAAAAAGCCCATATCTCTAACATCCATCTGCATGTCTTTAGATATGATAAGGCAAACTCAATAGCTGTAATTTACCACAAAATTTCAAACACCCAAGACATTCTAACAGAACACAAGTAGCCAGTCTGTAAAGAGGATACACTTCAACTGAGGAACATGCTCATACTTCCGTCGCATCATTTCAATAGCCACACAAGATATGTCAACATTCATGATGCTTTCATACCCGTCCTTAACCATGTCCTCTGACATAACTACAAAGAAAATGCATTTATCTTTCAGCAGTCTCACAGTCAACCACAAGCATTAGTAAAAACAAGATGCATTAACATGCTCTTGCAAAAGATGCATTGAGCACACACAAAGTGGTCGTTTATAGACATCAATTTTATAAATATCAGGAAGAGAAAAAAAAGAAAGAGGAAAGAGTCAGCAGCATAAAAAATTGTAAAAGAAGATTTGTAATATCTCACTGGAGAAATATAGAAGAAGACAGTTGTAGATAGAGATGTAGAAAGAGAGAGTGCCAAAGCTTCTCAATATCTTACATGCAAAGTAAATAAAGTAGACTTCACATTTAGCATCAAGGGTAATGTTGGCTCTTGACTTACTTACACCTCATACAAAATTCCAATGTTTCATTAAAGAGATATAACATCAATTTGCAATCATAGACAACGTGGTCAGAGTGTTCACGAATCTATTCAATATTGGTAGGAGGGGCTAATTGTAACAAGTTGAATATGGTTAACATTTAAGAACATGGGAATCTTAGAATAGCTAACCTTACCTTGCAGTGATAACCCTTTTCCTTCCAAATCTTAGTCTCTGAAAGGGTTTTTTTTTCCCCATTCGAGTCGCCTCCCTTATTCTTTCACTCTTTGTTTATCTAGTTGTTGTATGATGGTCTGAACTTCCTCATTCATGTCATGATCTTTCCCCCTTCACGGGAGTTCTCATCTCTCCTCATGCATTGGAAGTTAGAATGGATAATCTACAAGCTTAATGGTGATGGATCACAGAAAATTTATTTGCATCACAAATTTCTTATTTAAGAATTGAATTTTTCTGTTAGGTATGTGACCGCTTAGATATGTGTTTAGTGTGTTTTTGTTTTGGTTATGCTTCTGAATTCATTGTATGTATAGATGATTTTCATCCCCAGGGAACGATGCTGTCATGGCTGATCAGGTGGAATGAAATATATGCTCTTCAACAGGACTTCCAACAACTCCCCAGTTATGTATGTGGGTTTATGTACTTCTCATATCATATATATGCAAACACCTATATAGAATATCTGTAGGCGCACACTCACAACAAAAACTCTCACAAGTACACACTGTCAGACTCGGACTAACCAAACCAAATGGCTCAATCGAAGTAAAAGGACAAGAAAGACGGTGCATGAAATTCTAGCAACCATATGGGAAAGAAACAAGTTGAAAGGAAATAGAATAAAAAGAACTTGTAAGAGTGGGGATCTGATAAATGCTCTGACCTTGTTTAAAAAATCCTCATGCATTATACAGCTCAAGCAAAGGACAATCAAGCCTATAAACCATTTTGAGCTGGTATCCGAAGGGTCCGATCATTTTTATTTTCACAATTGAATTCTATGTAGTACAATTTTCAATCACTACTCTACTCCAGCCTCCAAGACTCGAAAGACTGACCTCTCCCTTTTCTCGACCATAAGGTGTGAATTTTGGTTATTTCAGTCGTACTCCATACCCTTCCCCTCCCATCTACTTATGCACGCTTAACCAACCTACTCCAACTAACACAACTGTCTCAACTAATTCATTAAAAGAATTAAAAAAGCACCCTTATGACAGCTGGCAACGCTTGACACATCTTCTTAGCCATTCCCTCCCTGCTTCTTACACTTTGCAAATGTCTGGAATCCTCTGGCCTCATCAACATGGGTAATAGTATTATTTATATTGACCAAAGGAGTGCCTCTACACGTTAAACAAGCAATTACTTCACTTATGCATTTTTCACCAGAGTTTAAACATCATATTTATCAAAAATGATGAAGCAAAAGAGCACATTTTTAAGCTACTGTTAACAATCAGCAACACTTTGATATATCTAATTACCAATACATTACTGTGCAGCCACTTCTACATACTAAGATTTGTATCATATAACTCAAGACAACCTGGACATCAACCATATTTTATCTGAAAGCATCTAGGGTCAGGCTAAAATTGGAACCCAATGGAACTGATGAAGAAGGAAACCTTCATAGTGCTTGCCGGTATGAACAGAAACCCTCTACTCGCTCCTATTAAGACTAACTCCTTTTGTATATTCCACTCAATCTCTCTTCATTACTTCCATGCATGCCAATCTTGACAGACTACCTCTCCTAGCAATTTTCTCTTAGTACAAGACTCCTTTCCAACCTAGCATCGAAGGTCCATGTTGGAGTCCACATTACGACACCAGAGCATCTTATCCAGTGTTGCCTCAATTTCTCCTCAACAGGTTCTACTCCACATTTCCCTCGATGTGTGCCCACATATGTGCCAAAACATTTGCATTTATGCTACACTTATCTAATCTAGATGGTGTCTTTTGGTGGCACAACAATCTACCCTGTAAATGATAGCAGCTCACGATGCCTTGTTATAAACCTTACCTTTCATCTTGGATGGGAATTTTTGGGCACACAAGACAAAGCTTGTCAATATTTCATCCAACCTGTGAGTGTTCTATAACTAACATCTTCATCAATCTCTCTGTCATTGTATAATCTTGATCACTAAAAACACAATATGTCCTTCCAGACTACAATTTGTTCAGGCATGCTTGTCACCTTTTTCATTCTCTATCACCACAGCTAAAGTTACATTTTGTGGACTATATTTTAGCTCGAGTTGATGTAAAACCTATTCTAAGGTTTTACTCCATGACTGCGAATTTTGTCAGCACCTTGCACAGTCTCATTATCGATCGAATATGATCAGCAAAAAACATGCATCATTGTATATCATTTTATCTCCCTTAGAAGCTCTCTCCCTAACGCTTGTTACGGAGCCACCATACACATCTTCAATGACAATCTCATGCACTGTAGGGACTTTCTGCTCCGAAGAGCCCACTGAATCAACTTCCATAATAACGTATCATATCCCTTTCTATATCGATAACCACCATATGCAAATTTCTTTTTCCCCTTAATCTTTCCACAAGTCATTAGCCCATTTATAAGAAGACTCGCATCCTAATATTTAGAACTACAGTGACCTCACAATAACTTTTGATTGTTGCATAACCCAGAAAAATCTCTCAAGTTGATGCAATCAACACAATATATCTCTGAATTCCCAAATCAAACATTCATCAAAGCAAGTGGCTACACCTTTATTATTTTTGCTATTATAATCTATTTGACATGATTGACCTTGGGTATACATTTATTTCATTGCAACAAATCAACCCTGAAGGAATTCACATTGGAGAGGTATATTCACCACTAATCTAAAAGCTGCCAACCAATTTATGAGATATGGAAAACAAGCAAAAGAGCTAAAACGCAATAGAAACAGATTATGACAAAAGGGGAAAGAGCAATTGCCATAAAGCAAGGCAAGCCAGATTGTCGAATTACATAAAACAAAAAGCAAGAGGATACAGGGAAGCCACTCAAATGGATAGAGACCCTCCTCAAACTGAGATTTGGAAGGGAAAAGGATAAGTTCTGTAAGAGATGGGGCGATAGGGAAAGACAGTTTTCTGAATTTTGCAAATGCCTTGAGCTATCAAAATTCAGTCTCTAGATTCCTCAAATTTTCGTTGTACTAAAAGTAGCAAAAAAACTTTACTCCTCTCTTTACATGCTAGCAGTTCAAACAGAACTAGACCTTGAACATGCCTGAATGCTCTTTCATGGTCTATATCTCCACAATTCAGAATCACTAATATGCCCTGAATAGCAATAATAGCCAAGTAGCATTCCTATGTAGCAATCAACCAAATTGATGTTCACCAATCCTGTTCCACATTCAAACTCTAAATATGTGGTCTGTCAATTTAAATGTCAAGAAGATGATCATGGGTCGCTAATTCGAGTCTCCTTAAAGCCACTAGGGATTTTCCTCGTTGTTATCTTCAAGGGTCCATGGGATTAGTTGAGGTGTGTGCAAGCTGGCCCAGACACCCACAATTAACAAAAAAAAAGATGGTCATGGCTGACGACATAATAAAAGAAGCTGCATCGACATTCATTACCAGAAATTAGAGGGGTGATGGTGCTATTTTCATTATAGCCTTCAGATGTAAAACCCAAACTTGAAAAACACACAAAATCATAATGTCTAGCACTCAAGAACACAAAACTCGTAAAAGATTAGCCTAGCAACTTCCGTCGTTTGAAATAGACAAAGTGTCTCTCTCCTTGTTCATCCCAATATCAAGACAAGGAAATAGGAGAGAGATAATAGAGATTAAAAGGTTATCATATTACATTGAATTAAAAAGGAGAAGATGAAAAATTTATTGGTGGAACCAAATGATATGGATAAAAAGTTGCAGACCACCAAATACGCATCAGTTACTCGTCCTCAAGAGATGTGATGAGTGGAAAAGGAAAAAAAGCTCTGGAGAAACAAAAATTCCATAAAACTCATATATAAACCTCCCCTAGTAGGATAGATTGAAGAAAGGAAAGTGCTACATGATATCTAAACTAAGACAAATCCACAACTTTTCGTACTTCAAAACTAGTGCGAGTGCGATTATCTGGATTTCTTTATCTTTGCCTTACATTTTCTTATGATGCTTGACAAACAATAAGAGTGAGGCACATAAAAGGGCTAGCAAACTGCACAGAATTGAAGAAAAGAAGTCAATAACCAATATTGAACGTACTAATACTTCCTTTCAATCATTAAAACCAAAAATCCCATTAAATTTGAATTAGGCAAGATGTGTAAAAGACAGCACTATCACTTCAGCTTTACTCATGAGAAAGTACAACAGTAGTTATCTCCAATTATGCCAAATGCTAGCATATCACCAATTCATTTGAGTTGAAACATTAACTACTTTCATAACAAGTTGAGTGTAATTAATATCAATATGGCATTCAGCAGAGTATTGAACATGTGCTTGTGCCTGATTATGCATCAAAAATTACATTATTTTGTAATGAATTTCAATATAATCAAGTATTTCATCATGCACACCTTGTTCTTTGTCATCTTTTGCATAAAAGGAAGGAAAGAAGCCAATTCAACATCATAGGCTCAACCCTCGTTTCCTCTTCGGAACAAAATTCAGACTAAAGTAAAAAAGTTTAAACTCACAACAAAGGGCCACACTTCTCTCTTTAATTTTTGCCCTAAGAGAGCAAAATAGCTTGAAACATATAAATTTAAATCGTACTCCTACATGACATGTAAAAGACAGTTATAGCATCTTATTTCGACTAAGCACCTTAAAATCCCGAAAAAACACTGCATAACTCCTCTGCATCTGATAGAAATTAAAGCGAGAGAGGTTATCGAGAATGAAATAGCATACCGGCATTGCCGCAACCAACCATAAGGACGCGAGAAGAGATTGGAATATATTTTCGAACAAAAGGGCGAAGGGCATGGTAACGCTGGTACCAATCGAATGAACCAGCGGAGGCCTCGTGAACGTATCGAGCATCCCAGTAAACGGAGTCACCATAGTTGTAAGTGTTGCATGCCGACTCATCCCTGAACATCTTACCAGTTACCTTCGCCGGCGAGTATAGAGGTGGAGGCGGTGGTTAGAAGTGATGATCGCTGGGGGTTTGATTGTGGATGGGTGGTGATCGTCGTAAGCTGTGGTTGTGGTGGTTGGGGCGGTGGTGGTTTGGATTTTGTTTGTCTTTTTGGGTAAATCTTTTTTCCAGAGCATAAATTTCAAAATCCAGATGTTTTCTGCAAAAATAACTTGTACGGTACCACTGAAGCATCGTATACTGATTTGTACTTATGAATCCTGAATTTGAAAAAGATTTTGAGTACTAACCCTCGCTTTCCTTCTAACCCTAACCGAAGTACACAAATTTGACGACCACTTTTTGTGTGCCTACAAAAATAAACCACATAAATTTTGATAATAAAAAACAGGAAAAATATTTATTATATAAGAATTAAAATAAATATCGTTACTTTATAATATTACGCTTTATATTGTCATCATTTATTGTGAATCATTTAAACGTTTTATTCGAAAGGGGTTTTGTGCAATTAAATTGTATACGAACAGTATTTTCTTTGACATTTTATTCTTATATAATATTTGTTTTTAAGATATGTTGAAGTTCAAAATCTTATTTCACTTATTATTATTAAGATACAATGTCAAAGTATAAAAACATGATCAATGTTTGCTCGTTATTTTTTGTTTTTGCATATTGATAAATGTTTGAATGTTAAATAAAATTAAAATTAACGATATTAAGAAACTGTTACTAAAAAAATAAAAAATATATAAATGCTAGTTAATAATAATATTTTAAATAATTTAAAATCAAAATAAAAGATGTTAGTATTTTTTTATAGGTTGCTAAGTTTTATGTTATTAAGTATAACATATATAGAGGTTTATTCAAGGAAAAACTGACTAATTTGTGGTAACCGTGAGATCTAATCTCAAACATAAATTAATATATAAATTAAGAAATTTATAATTTTTGGTAATTTTGAATTAAAATTTTAATGCAAGTACGTTTTAGGTATTTTAAAACTCTCATCTCTTCTCTCTTCTCTCTCCATCCCCCGTCCTCAGGCCTCTAGCCATCGTCCTCCGGTGATACCACTGTGGTACCTAAAAATATTGATCCTACTAAACAAAAAACACAATGTGATACTCAATCACATATAAGTTGCATTGTAATACCACTGTGTTACATCTCTGATCGACCACACAAACAACTTCAATGTGAAATCCAAACACATATAAGATGCATTGTGCTACAACTATGATACCATTGATTTCAATTCAACTAATCAGATTTTATAATATCCGTGTTCCGTTAACTTGTACAAATTGGGTTAAGTGAATTTTTGGTAAAATTATGCATAATATATTTGTACCCTGTGTTTAACCAACTTGTACCCTAAACTAGTTTTGCGTCAAAAATAAGTTTATACCTATATTGACATAAAGTTAAGAATCTAGACTTAAGGGGCTAAAACCGCCAAATAGTTAAACTTTATATATATATATATATATATATATATATATATAATATTAAGAAAAAAAAATATAATATATATATATGATGCTAGCCGGTTATATATATTATAAAATTAAAAATAATATATATATATATATATATAGGGGTCTAATCAAATGAGAACTAATTAGTTTGTGGTAACTGTGAGAACCAATATTAACCACAAATCAATAGATAAATTAGGAAATTTATAATTTTGGCAATTTTGAAATTAAAATTTTAATGCAAGGATATTTTTGGTATTTTACAACTTTCCTCCCTCCTCTCTTCTCTCTCCGGCCACCGTTCTCTGGCCACCGTTCGTCGGCCACCGTCCTCCGGTGATACTACAATGGTATCACAATGCATCATATATATGCTTGGGTATCACATTGATGTCGTTTGTGTGATCGATCGAAGATGTAACACAGTAGTATCACTATGCATCTTATATATGATTAGGTATCACAATGTATCTTTTGTTTAACAGAGTCAATATTTTTAGGTATCACAGTGGTATCATAGTGGTATCACCGGAGGACGGTGGCCGGAGGACGGTGGCCGGAGAACGGTGGCCGGAGAGAGGAGAGTTTTAAAATACCAAAAATATCCTTGCATTAAGATTTTAATTTAAAATTACCAAATTTATAAATTTCCTAATTTATCTATTGATTTGTGGTTAATATTGGTTCTCACAGTTACCACAAACAACTCAGTTCTCCCTTGAATAGGCCCCTATATATATATATGCATGTGTGCATAGAGTCTCATTTCTCTTTTAAATCTATCGTCTTCTCTCTGAATTTTACGTCAAATTATTGAAGGAATCGAAGTAACAATTATATATTCGGAATCCACTTTCCGAACCCTTCTTAAACGTATAAATTTCATTCAATTTTATTAAGGTGTTTATGTTAAGGTTATTTAGACCGGTTTATAAACTGTGTTTATATCTAAGTTTACGGATTGATATTGTCAAAATTATGATATATTTGATGTTTATGATGCTAGTACTGGTTATATTGATGTAGAAATAAAAAGGGTATATTATAGTTTCAATATGGTTAGATTGTGGGTAAATGTTTAACCGTACACCAATTATTCGGTTAAATATCGAAATGAGTAAAAATGCATGATTAGGCTTAGGTTAACGACCATTGGAATTGTTTTATTGTTTAGTATGTTGAAGTACGTTTATAGCATGTAAATATAGCAAATCATGAAAGTTGGATCATAAAAGTTAGTCGGGAATTACGGAATCGAATTTTACCGACAATGTAACTCCTGTACTTTGACAGTGTATAACTCACAAACCGTAAGTCGGATTAAGCTCGTATTTTGCAGTCAGGAAGATCATACTGCATACTACAACTTTCATTAAGGGTCAAAATTGCACTTATGACTCTAAGTAGCTCAAAACAGTGTGTTTTTTAGGCTGTTTACACTGTATCCGGGATTAATTTATAGTTTTGTGAAATTCATATAAAATAGATGGATGATCCAAATGAGATGATTTCAAAAGCATTAGACTCGTATGATACCAATCTACAACTTTCATTTAGACAATATAATCTAGATTGGTTTCTAAGTAAGATAAAAATGCTTAGAAATAAGAGGGTCGGAAACGGTTGGATCGAAAGAGAATAAGGTTAATTTTTCACGTTTGAGTTTCAATTCGTATCAAGTACATTAAGACCTAAGTAAATTTATTAGAATAGTTATATTATGGTTTCTATGCTTTATAAATAGTAACCGTTTATGCATTCGTTAGGCACGCGGATAAATCAAACTTGATCGTGAATGTCCGTTGATTGTGCGTTAATTGTCAAATTTGGTTAAGGTACGGATTTCATATCTCACTTGACACGGGGATAGCCATTTGCATAAGGCTTCCTAATCCGGATAATCTGTGATAAATTCCGAATAATTTGTTCTGAATTTCCTTTATGGTTATCAAATATTATTGAACTTTGTTTTCTTTTGAACTATGACTTATATTCTTATTCGGAACATGGATCATTTTGATCACTTGACTTGTTTGTTTGCTTTATTGTGAAACATTTTACTATAGACTCAATAACTGGAGCACCGGTGTTGAGATGTTTCCATGGTGACTAAAACGATCATGGTCCTTATTTTTATAGTCCCTAGAAGTGGACTTGATTATGTACCGGTCGAATAGAGGGCGTATGGATTGATCATAGGAACCGTTATCGAATATTGAATTATGGTCGTGGTTAAATCCACGGAGAGGATTGCTGTGTTGTGCTCACACCCCTTTCCTCACTTGTGCCTGAATGGACTGATCATCCTTTGGGAACAATGCGTCCTCGTGATGCAGTTTGGT